GAACTCCCTTCTCATCAGTGCAGAGGCAGAAACGGATCTTGGAGTCATTATTGATGCCAAGATGAACATGGGCCGGCAGTGTGGAGATGCAGTCAGCAAGGCCAACCATACCTTGTCATGCATCCACAGATGCATCTCAAGCAGGTCCAGGGAGGTGATCCTCCCCCTCTATGCGGCACTGGTCAGGCAGCAGTTGGAGTACTGCATCCAGTTCTAGGTGCCGCACTTCAAGAGGGACGTGGACAACATGGAGAGGGTCCAGAGGAGGGCTACTTGCATGATTGGGGTGCAGCAGGGCAGGCCCTATGAGGACAGGCTAAGGGAGGGCTCTTCAGTCTGGGATGTTTTTGCTTGAAGACCAAAGTACTCAAACAACCATCCTGGACCTTCAGTACACCAATGATTGTGCCTTCCTTTCACGCACAAGCACACTAGAACTTTTTCGAGAAGCCTACCAAACTTTAGGTCTCTCTTTCAACATGAAAAAGACTAAAGTGCTCTATCAACTTGCCCCGGGTAATGGATGTGACACCCCCACCCAAGTTACCATTGAGGGAAAGGCCCTGGAGGTAGTCAAGCTTTTCTCCTACCTTGTAGCCACCTCTCTCAGAGAGTGAACATTGAGGAGATCCACCACAGACTGTAGTGAGCAACTGCCTTCTATGAGAAATTGCTTTGACATGTCTTTATTCATCACAGTCTCTGGAAAGACAACCAAATCTAGGTCTACCAGGCAGTCATCATCCCCACCTTCCTCTACAGATGTGAAATGTGGGTGACTTACCATTGCCATGTCAATAGCCTGAAGAGGTATCACTAATGATGCCCCTGAAAAGTTCTCCACATTAAATGGGAAGATCACTGCACACATGTCTGCCAGGGATGCTGATCAAGCAGTCCACTCTGGGCTAAGCAGTCAGGAACTCTGAGCAGGTCAGCTTGAATCAAGTACTTAGCAGCCACACCTGCAGTAAGCCCCAGCTAATGAACTCTGTGCCACTTTAGGAGCAGCAAGTATCCTGATTGGCTGCTGGGAGCACTATCTATTAATTTAGCACCACCTGGGGCCCTGAGTTTGCTGGCCAGTCAACAACTCTGCTGTAGCAAGGCTCCTGGTTCCTGGACTCTGCTTCTCTTGGTTCCTGACCCTGGTTTTCAGCTTATTCGGGACTTCAGTTCTGGAGTTCCCTGTGGTTCTGTTTCCTGGTGTCTGACCCCAGTTTTGCTTTGTTTTCAGACTTTACCCTGTGGATTGGCCCTAATCCTGGACTGTGTTGTGGACCCTGCTTCTGAATTTCCCTCAGGTTTTGGTATATGGCTCCTACCTTTTGACCAAGCCCTAGGCTCTGCTTTCTCTCAGTGGTCTAACCATTAGGTAAGACTACCTATGATCTGGTCCGTTACAGAGCCAGCATCCTTGCTGAAGCCAATATTACCAGCATTGAATTGGTGATCCTCCAGCTCTGACTTCATTAGAGCAGACATTATATGCAGTTAACTAACTCAACTCCTAAAACAAGTGCTCTACTCCCAGGTTAGTAATGGCCTGAGATCTTATGGTGGCCAAGAGAAATGCTGCAAGGACACATTGAAGGCATACATCAAGAAAATGGATGCTTACATCAAGAGCTAGGAGGAGCTAGCTACAAACTGTGGCACTGCAACCTCAACCAAGCAACAGCCCGTTTCAAGGTAAAGTGTCTTGCCCTCAAAGCAGAGGAAAGCTTAAAGCAAGGAAAAGAAGAGAAATCCTTGTCTGTGGCCTACTCTCTTCCTCAGAAAGACCTGCAACTTCTGTGAACGGGTCTGTAGCTCAAGGATTGGACTCTTAAGTCACCATTGTAGCATGGTGCTACAAAAATTTATTTTTACCTTCCTGTTTATCTAATAAATTTGAGGTCCAGACACTGCAGGGATGAGGGCCTTGCAAATATACACATTAATATCTTTATTAAAAGCTACGGAATGGCTATGTGGAAGCAGGGTGATACTTGTCATTAATAATGGACTAAGCACTTTGTGTCTGTATGTGTTTAAAACTGCTTTGTTGTAGTTTTAACAGGATGGCTACCTTTCCTGAGTCTCAGAACAGCCCCAGACCTTTGAGGCTGCTTTTTCTGGAGAGAGCATGAACCACAGCCCTCTTTTTTCCTTTTTGTCATAACAGGGGTAAGGAATTGGACTGAGAGGGGTTAAGTTGGTGGACACTGAAACAAACAGCTGAGGCTAATTAAACACTAATGTTCTAGCTGATGTGAATAAAAGAGGCAAAGGACAACAGAGGCAATTGTGTGTGTGAGGTACAAATCTAGTTAAAATACTGTATATGCCTGGTTCTAAAGGGGGATGCTTCTTATGTGGTCCCGATTTATACTCTAGAAAGGACAGGGGTAGTTTTTGCCATCTTGATTTAGACTAGAGTTAGGTGAGAGTAGATTTTTATTTTCCTCATTACATGAAAGAATACACTTTGTGATACTTTCTGCTGTTTTGGTGCCTTTGAATTCTGATACTTTAGATTACCTCCTGCTTTGTCTGCCTACAACTAGAATAGTTTGTCTAACTGTAGTGTATTTTTGGAACAGGGTGTTTCAGTGCAGTACATTTACACAGGTTGTGCCAAATGGAATTTACAGTCCAGGCTGGCCCATGAGCCAGAAGAGTGCTTTAGTATTTCCCACCCCCCGCTTTAAAAAGGACTAGTAGCTGCTGCTAACTGGACCATCTGGTAGCTGTTCCATCCAGTATAACATCAGTTACTTTTTTTGCTTTTCAAGCAGATCTGTTTTTAAATGGCTTATTTAAATCAGCAGAAACCACATATGTGCCAGTCAGTCACCTAGTATTTTCCAGCACTCTTCTTGCTATACAGCCTCCTTCTGTCAGCTGAGGTTTTCCCCAAGATGCACTCACGCTGTTACAAATGTGTTTTTTCCCCTAGCACATCTTCCAATTTTACATATGTAATCCATTGTTTCCAGCAGAAAACTGCTTCACTCCAGTCCTTCCTTTTCTATATAAACAACAGACAGACCAAATAGCTCCACGCAGACTTCATTCCATCCTAAACAGAAAGCTATTTTTATAGCTATGATTACTGCTTGTGTACTCTGTACTCTCTTTCCCTTCCTCATCAAAACTAGAATGACAAAACAGTGCTTTAAAAAGTTAACAACAAAACTCAGGCTTCTTTGAACTTTCTGTAGGTTCATTATAAATGTATTGCAGAGCTGAATACAGCTGTAAAGCAAATCTACTTGGTATCATTATGTAATGCCCTTAAGTTTAAATACAGTGCAGGTAGTAGATCAAAAGAGGGGCAAAGATGGGAGAAGGCATAGAAATAGGTACAGAAACAGCTCCTGAGCTTCAGTTTTGCTAGGTAGCAAGACTAACCTGCCTGAGGAAGCTATGAGCTTCTGGTTTAAGTTACCTACATTTAATGATTTCAACTGATATCTTACCGAGATAATAGGATTCAGAGATCTGCAGGGAACCCCTAAACTGCATATTTTCCTAACTGTTTAGTCTACTTCCTCTCACTTCTAACGCTTCTTGATAGATACATGTTGTGTCCACAAGATGGTATTATACTACATTTCCTTTAAAATGGAAGAAAGCTTCCAAGATAAGTCTAGTTATTTTGAAAGATTAATTTCTGGTTTTTCTGGGTGCAGATAGGAAAGAGTATCCAAGAACTAAAATATCTATATATCACTCATTGAAATGGCATGTGTGTGAAATACCGTGTGTGTGTGAACAGCATGAAAAATTTCAGGTTGTAAGGTTTGCAATTCAGAAATTACACAGTATAGTCACCTTCATATGCAACAGTGTAATATACAGTTTCCTTCTCCATTTATTTAATTTGAAATTGTAGTTGGTCAAATATTGTAAGTGAGGCTACCTTTGGTACGCTGTCATCCTGCAGTGTCCCTGCAGTAATTGTGCTTGGCTTTGTGATGCAGAGGTTTTAATGTGCAGTGTGGCTTCTAAGAACTGGTCTCTTGATTTAACAGCTCTGAATTTGTAACTTAACAATAGGCATGTGTGGGATACTGTAACTATAATTTCACCAAGCTACGTGATTTCTAAAAGTGAACTGGATGGAAGGTTGGTTGCATTAGAACAATAAATCAGTTCAAAAAGAGTTAGTAATAGCAGGTAATGGCCCCCTGAATTTGATACTCATAATATGTTTCCTTTGTATTATATGTATAGTAATTTAATTCCTTTTGCCTTGCAAAATTGAGTGATTATGTTATTTCAATATACAGTAATAATTTACATGAAAGTAATCAGTTTCATAATAATTTCCCATTTCTAATTTGTGCTTCTTTTCAAAGCTGGCATTATCATGTAGCTTCTAGCATTGCAAACAGAAAACTAAAATGCATATTTGCAGCTCCATATTTTATTCAAAACAATATGGTGCTATATCTTTCTATGAGAAAGCAAAGATCACTGTTAAAGCGAATATACAATTCCATAATTACAGTTTAGAAACTATTAATAGGATGGAATTGTTTTAGAGTAAGTTTTCTAAATAAGACTTTTTAAAAATAACCTTTTCATTTAAAGCACCAGGGTGTTACCATGGAAATGGAAATGGAATTGTCAGTCTTAGTATTATCTGAGAGTCGCATGTTATCAAGAGATCAGACTGGTGACCTACTGTACTTGTCACCTCACATCACTATTAGTTTAAAGATGACAATTAAAGCTGGTTAATTAACAAAACAATTAATAAATATTTTCATAAACATGAGAACATAATAGTTGGTAAATATTCAGGAAAACATGCACAGACTGCTACACAGACATGCATTTGTGGTAAGGCTTATAGGTCCAAGTGCATTGTCTATTCTTACATGCATGTATGAGTGCACCCATCTGGTCTCGTATAGGCGCTGTCTAGCAACCTTAGAGCACGCACCTGGCTCCAGCCACGGGGTGTGTCCCTGAGACCTGTGTATTGGGTCATGTTCACCCCCGAGGGAGGCTGTGACACTCACCTGCCAGGACTTGATCTTCTTGTCTTCAAAGGTGGAGCTCCCCCTTGCGGATTCTCGCAGACCAGTTGCTGCCCTTTGCGGGCATTCTTGGGGCTCCACCTCCCCTACACCACAGCCATATGCCAGCCTTCAGGACAACTGGATGATGGATTGCCGGCCTGTCACCTTGGTGTTCTCTCCTGCTCTTGTCTCTTCCTGCCCATCCCTCAATGCCCCTTTACCCTGGGTGACTGTGGGGTGTGGAACCGTCCTCATCTCAGCATCTGCTCCCCTTTTGAGGGGTTGCAGTCCACTATTCTGACTCCACTCTTCCTCTTGACCTGGGGACACTTGAAGATGACTTCCCTGGTCTGGGCTCTGTGTGCCTTCCAAAATAATCAAAGAGAAGAAAAGAATAGTCGGGGTATGGGCCTCAGCCCACCCCACTTATGGATCTGGCATCTGTGGTCCTTGGGATCCCTTGACACCATCCTCCTTGGCCCAGCTGCCCTGCTGAGCTGGGTGGGTATTCCTTTTAAAGGAGCTGGGACCCTTCCTGCGGGTCCCTGCCTGGCCCTCTGCTGAGCTGACAACCTTGCCACTGTGCAGCCCAGGGAGCTGCTTTGCCTTCTGGCTCCAGCATTGCTGCCCCCATCTCTGTTTCCCCACCACTGGCTTTTAAATTATCTGGGTGGCAGTTTTTGATGACATCATCTGCTGATGCTGTTCCCAGCCAGAAATAAAAGTGGCTGATGAACCACTCCGGCGGCCCTTCTTGGCGCGGCTTGGGTTCTCTTAAAAATGGTAAGTGAGCCCTCTGTTCAGGGCTTTTTGTTTCTTTCTTCAGGCAGGTCAGCCCTGCCACGGGTCCTGCTGTGGGAGAGAGCTCCACTTGTGTCCCCCTGGGACAATGAGCTTCTGGCAATCATTGGTGTGGAAAGTTACCAGTCTGAAAATAGGTATATTGCTTTTTATAAACCAATGAGGATATACTTGGTTTTCATTTCAACCACAAAACAAAAATTTTAGAAGCCGCTTCATGTATCCTTAATGGTTCTCAACCTTTTCAGACATCAGGTGGCCCTCAGAAAATGCCAGCTCTTAGCTTTTCTTCATTTTATGACTAAGGAAAAATGAGAGAAATTCTTCTGTTGCAAAGAACTCAGAAGCTAAGCACAGGCATGCGAGAAGGTTGCGGTGGAAGTACTCCAACTTTTGAGCTTTACCCTAAGGCTAATCTATACATGTGCTCAGGATTGGGGGAAGAGGCATTTTTATTGGAGTGGTTCCTGGAGAGCTGCTCTAATTAAAACACCCCAAAGTCACATCCATTAAACCTCCACATTTTAAAAATGTTGCAGGATACTTTATCTAAACCTCATTCAATGAGGTTTAGCTAAAGTGCCCCCATGGCCATTTTAAAATGCGCAGAGGCTTAATAGACATGATGAGGCAATGCTAGAGTGTTTTAATTAGAACACAGAGCACACCTGATTGAGTCTGCTCCTATGTGTTCTAATTAAAACATGAATGAGCACATGTATAGGCAGCCTAAGTGCCCAAGGTTAGGTTGGTCACAAACAAAACATGAGTTAACCCTTTTTGGGGGGGCAGGGGGCAGCAGGTAGAAGGGACTCACACATGCCTCCCAGCATGCCCTGCACGCTCCCCAGGCTGCCAAAGACTTCCAAGTGGAGCTGACTGGCTGAGCCACCCCAGATTGGCTGGCTGGGCCATCACAACCACCAATCTGGACCTGATGCAGCAGTGGCTTTTCATGGCCGTGAGCCATCAGCCTGTTACAAGGAACCTCTGATTTAATGTAGTAATTATATTAATCAAGATGCTGGAAAAGTGGTGGGGGAAATAGAATTTTGGTTAGCCAAGCTAATAATGGTGTCCATCTTGGTTCAGTCAGTTTTACTGGGTAACAACAATAGATAAAACAAAATAGAACAGTAATATCAAGAACAAGAACCAGAACAAGAATGTAAACACAGACCAATAACAATAGGGAAACCAGACAACAGAACACTGGTGTAAAATAGGGTAATACTTTACCACTATGGTTCAGCTTTGGCAAAACTAGTTCACTAGTGTCCTTGACTGCTGGGAAGCTTTGGTGCTGGTCACTCCCTTGCTGCAGTGATTTAGAAATCCAGAGTCCCTGGAGCAGTCTGGCCACTCACACATGAGCCACCATACATGCAGCAGCACACTATCTCCCAGGTACACAGGCAGTCACACTGGCACAGAGGCACAAACACACCATAGATCTGGTCCTGGAGTGTTCTGGTCAATCACACAGGAGCCCCTGGGGATACAGAGCTCCATGTCTCCACCAGATGTGACACATGCACAGGCAAATTCAGACATGCACAAAGACACTGCCGCTGTGTCCTTTTATATTAATGGTTTATGGCAACATGCTGCTTCATCACTAGCCAATCAACAACGCCTGCCAATCACTCAGCTTGCAACAATCTTTCACTCATCTGTCACTTTTACCTCAGGCATGTCACTCCACTGACCTGTCAATTGCTCTGTTTTTCATCAAACACACCTGCTCACTAATAATAAATAGGTTATGAGGCCAAAGGTTTACTCCTTCCAGGCTTTTCCAAGCCTTGCTTCAACTGTGCGTGCTCAACAGAACCGAAACCTGGACTTTACAAGCAGGCCGTTCCACACATACCCACCCAGCACACCCTGCGCCTGTCAAGTGTGTGTGCACACCCTGGATGTCTGGGTGCTCTGCGTGTGTGTACCTGTCCCAGACTCCTGGGTTCCGTGTGTGTGTGTGTGCACTCCCCACACATACACATACACAGAACCTAGGCATATGGGACATATACATGCACATAAACACAAAACCCAGGTGTGCAGGGTGCTGGTGCACACACGAAACCCAGATGTTTAGGGCATGCATACATACACACAGAATCCAGGCATTCAGGACATGAATGGGCCACCAACTTTCATGTGGCTAATGAAGATAATGCTTACTTATTGTGCGACTCCCATTCCCTGGAGTGATACAGAGTAGGTGCTACACTTCTGGGGTCTCCGGTTTTATCATCAGTGATGTCATCAACTCCTAATCCTTGTCAGGGATCTGGTCTACCCCCTCCTTTCCTGGCTCATGAGGTCCTATGGAGCAGCTGAACTATAGGAAGAAGCATTTCAAATATGCACTGGGCTTGGCACCATAAACACACAGCACAGGCATGGGGCAGAAGGCGAGCCCCCCACTGATGCATAATGATGCGTAGGTGGGGCACATGCCCCCCTGATTTCCTGCCTGCCATCTGCTGCCCCCTTGCTGCCATTGTCTGCAGGTGGTCCCTGCTCGGGGGATCTTTGACTGTGCATAAACTCCTTACTCTGGCGCTGTGACTCTGTATCTCCATAGCAGTGAGGGTGGCCTCCCTCAGATAACAGGGCCTTTTGCACCCAATTGTGGAGACTACAGACAAGGGAGACACTGAGAGATCTCTGGTGAGTCCCTTGTCCAGACCCTTTCCCCCACTCAGGGCCATGAGCAGCATAGTTGCTTGCAACCTGGCATTGGTTATGGAGTGAAATGCCTGTGTTCCTCCTACCAGTTAGGAAATCCAGGTGCCTGGGTTCCATCCAGATGCCCGGGAGCTGGGAGGGCTGGGAAACCCAAGTGTCAGAGGCTGGGGCCATGAGCAGGTGCTCTGCCAAATGGTGCCTGGAGGCATGGCAGCAAAAACCCACAGTTGCAACTGTTGGTTACACCCCAGCTGCGGGGCTTGAAAAAAAGGTGTCAGTGTCTTTTGGAGTTTGTTTAGGTGTCATTTTGTGTAAAATGGTTCCACATCAACATCCTGGCCTCAGGAAAGCAATACGGCATCGAGGGATGGGGTGGCCAATTGACAATTAACCAGATTTATGGTCACTCAGTGTAACAGTCTGATAAGCCCCCCACAACTGTAAGGGATCCCAGCCCTGGTGCCTCTGCTTTGTTATAGGCTAGTGGTGCAGGAGTTGGTTGGGGGTGTTTGAGAGGCATGGGGTCAGTGGGGAGCATCAATAAATCAGTATCATCAGTCTTCCACATGGACAATTGTTGAGCCAAGAGCACACTAAATATCGGAGTAGGCAACAATATCCAGCCCTATGAGCATACCCCAACTTACCAAGGAATTACATTAGACCATTCCCTCACCTATAAACATCACATTCAAAAGGACAGCACTAAAGTCTCTGCATGGGTTGTTGCAGTAAGATGTTTAGCCAGAATGACATTCTGTGCCAACTTCAAAGTGTTCAGAACCACTGCATTTGCAATAGTATATGCCCCAGCAGATTACTGTGCTCCTGTATGGTTGAGAAGTTGTTGCACTAAAAAGCTCAACTCTGTAGTATGTAACAGTGTGTAGACATTCATAATAGGCTGCAAAACTTGCACACAGATGTATTTCCTGCACCCTAGGGCATTAGACCAAGCAACATAAGAAGACAGACCCTAACTGTTCTCCTGCTGTCAGGTTTCTGGGCCTGTGAAGAGCCCAGCAGGTTAGGTACTATGGAAATGAAATGATTATTCAGGGTAATCTGGTCTGAAATCTATTCCTACAGCACTTTATACCAACACCAAACAAGTCCCTCACTGTGCATGACTCATCATGGTCCAATGAGGAAGGGAGCCTCACCAACCAATCTCCTGAATTTGGAAATCAGCTTTCCTAAAATCAGGGATTTCTACCCTACTGGCTGATTTCCCTGGCTCATGGTGGATGGAGAAACTGATCATCTCAAGGTTGCTGTCACCCAGTTTCCCTTCAATCCACAGGTTGCTCACTAGATTGTCCCCTTTGGGCAGAACCAATTCTAGGAGCACCCTGCCCCTGGTCGGCTAGTAGACATCCTGAGTTAGATAGACCTCCTCGATGCAAGTGAGGAAGCTTTGTGAGTGACTGGATCTAGCTGAGTGCTTAATCAAAAGCTGGACATTTTACAAATGCCCAGGTAAGGTAGCTGGAACCCGCACACTGAGCAGTAATATCAGACAGTGGCTCATGGCTGGCTGGAGGGAACAAAGGGGTAAGGGGATTGGAAACAGGGGCTTCATTGACTCTTGTCAGTCACAGCCTGTGGGCAGGGCTGGTCCAGCACTTGGGCAGACGACATGAGCTCTGACTGGGGCTAGAGCGCTGCCCTGGGAACACGGATGAGTAGGGTGCCGCGAAGCCCCATGGGTTGCCAGCAGGATGTGACCTACATGAGTCTTAATGGGATCTGGTACAGGTATTTGTTACAGTGCTGTAACCTACGGTGCTGAAGTCTGATACCACTTCCATCCAGGGTTATCTTAGAGCAGGGGTTCCCAAACTTTTTATGCTGAGGACCAGCAAGCTGCGGACTGGAAGTGACCGCAGACTGGCAAACTGCGGACCAGCAGTGACCGGCATACTGTGGGCAGGCAGCCAACCCTTTTTTATACTCAGTATGAAAAAAGGTTGGCTGCCAGTCCACAGTATTCCAGTCACTTCCAGTCTGTGGTTTGCGGTCACTTCCAGTCTGGCAGCCAGCCCTCCTGCAGACCGGCAACCAATCCTTCATGGTCCAGCACTGGGCCATGGCCCAGGGGTTGGGAACCCCCATCTTAGAGTGAGATCTGCCGTTTTTACGATGCTCTATGTGTGCTGACCATATGTTTGGTTACAGCTGTAGAGGGCTTTCCGCATTCCTACCACACAATAAGAGGACCTTCTGTACCTGGCCAGAAAGACCACAACAGGTCAGAAATGCTTTAGACACTATGGATTTCTATTTGAAATTTTTGGGTCTATCTTATGAATCATGTGCAGGTATTTAGCACTGTTAGGTATACAATATTGTACAGTACCCCATGGCACCCTTAAAAGGATTTCATGGTACCCCAAGGTGCCTGGTACCCTTGTTGAGAACCTGTGCCTTAAGGTAACATTAATCATTTTATCCATAGGTAGAAGTTTTAGCTTCCAAGTTTAATTAGCCAAATGAGCAGAACTTGAACACAAAGACTTAATTTGAAGCAAAATTCCCCCGTTTGACAGTTTTTTGGATTTTTATGTTTACCTTGCTATCTTTTGTTACAAAATATGAATGTGTACAGATGAAAAAGAAGTACTATCTTTTTCAGGAGTATATGATATTAAATTTACTGCTTACATAAAATTATAACTTTCAGCTGAAATGGAAAACATTAAATTAATGATCTTATCAACATGCAGCAGTCAAATACAAACCTTTCCACTAGTTCAAAAAGGTGAAAAATCTGTTATTGGTATATCATTTCTATTGCTTCCTCAATGCCACAGATTTAATATAAATGCAGTCTTTCAAAAGGAACATCCAATTTGGGTATCAGGACAGTATATAAAGATCTATAATAGAAAATATTTGCTCACTTTCATAGATGTGTGTCTGACTGTATAAATTCAATTCCATTTAAGTCAGTAGACTGTAAGCATGCATTCTGTATACTACTTAAGGGTAGTGTCTAAATTCTGAATTAAGGAACATCTGCTCCCTTAATTATAGAGGCTCAGAAGAATCAATTGGTTCTACTCAATGTATCCATGCAGCCAGTAGCTGAACTGGTTAGATGACCTAGACTCAAAATACCAGCAATTCCGCTCTCAGATAACAGCACCACAAGTAATGTTTTCTGCCATCTTTGCTTGGTGGGGTAATTGTCTCATCCTGGTTAAATTGACCTGACTTCAGTTATTTACTCCTTTGTTATCTTTTAGTTGGACTGGATTCAGGCTGGACATAAGAAAGAACTTCTTTACTATCCCAGCCCCCAAGGTTTGGAACAGACTGCCACCGGAGGCAGTTCAAGCACCCACTTTGAACACCTTCAAGACATATTTGGATGCTTATCTTGCTGGGATCCTATGATCCCTGCTGACTTCCTGCCCCTGGGGAAGGGGGCTGGACTCAATGATCCTTCAGGGTCCCTTCCAGCCCAAATGTCTATAAAATCTATGACAGCAGTAAAGCTATAAACCTTGCCATGAAGCCACCAGCACTTGTGATAACTGTAATTAGTACAGCATGCAGCAGTGAGTTTCTTCAGTAATACAGGATGCTGGAAGCATATTGGACATGTCCACTTGTGTATTTGGCTTATCACAGAATATCAATGCATGTCTGAGATATCAGTTCTTATCTCTGAGGCCCTTAGTAGCATCAGTGCAACATATCTCAAAAGGTTGACCTAAACATTTGTGAGTATCACCAATTCTCCTTGTCTGGAATAATGGAACTTTCCACAATAAGGGTAAAACTAATGTGTGGGAGACAGAGCTGCCATGGAGGCCAGTCTGCAACTGGAATGAACTTCCACAAGAAGTAATGAGTAAAAAAACCCCTTTCATTTTCTACTTTAAGTCAAACGTAAATGTTTGTCACCTTTCTTTCGCTAACTTATATAGCAACATAAACCCTACCAAAACAAACGCTTCACTGCATACAGTTCTGTACTTGGGGAAAGAATGAAAAAAGAAGTCATATGACTGCTGTTAGTCATGTAACTTTTGTGCACTACTGTTTGGAGCTCAGATATGATAATAATAGTCAGTATAGGCAACTACATAGAACAGAACGTTATCCTCTCTGTTGTGTAGCTTTGTTCTACCAATACAGAGTCAGAGATACAGCATGTTGTGAATACAAGAGTACACACTCAAAGTCATCTCAGAGTTGGAGTGTCAAACTCCACCCTGTTTAGTTGCTACCAGTGGAAACTGGTTTCTGAACAGTTAGATTAATTGAGGCATTAGCTATGCACAGGTCAATCAATGTTTTTCCTGTAAGGAACCCTGTTGAGTGATGCCATGCCAAGGAGAGACTGATAACCAGCGTAGCCTGAAAAGAAACTTCTATTTTCCCAACTTACTACATGAAAATAAAGTTGTGAGCCGGGCACTGTGAGCGAGTCAGAATACTGTAGGGCTGAAGATTCCACTCACCCACATGACAAATAATGACTGTCCTGTGGCAAGTCTTGTGTTAAATGTGCCATTTCCATAATAAAAATATTTTAAGTCAATCTATGGAATTTCCCTGGCAAGAGCATCCTTGTGTTCAATTCCTTAAGGTGGTTTTAAAGTAGACAGACTATCATTGTACTATGCAAAAATTCTAAAGTGTTTAAGGGTATTATGCAGTCATTTTATATGGCCACCTGACATCTGCAGCTGACATCCCTTGATGCCCTGTGGATCCACTATTGTCTATTTTGTGCAATGTTTACAGTAATTTTACCAGCACAGAGATGATTAGGGTAGAAGCTCACTGGAGAACCAGCCAACTCCCAGTTATGGAGGAAGGAGGCAGAAATAAAGGTGAGAGCCTCTAGGTTCTGCACAACCTCCTCACAAAGGTGGAACTGTAAAACAAAAAATATGCATAAAAAGAGAATCCTAGAAAATAAAAGTAAAAAAGCTCATGATATTCCTTCTACATATTAAAAAAATATAATTCTTAGACTCTAAATTGATTAAGAAAAGGTAGTTTTACCTCTTCAGCACCATCCCCTACATACCATAAATTTTACTGATTTGATGACAGTTCTACTGACAAAAGTAACTCAAATCAAACACTTCTTCCAGTGAATTATAAAGAATGTCTGTCCTGGACCAGTAAGCTATAAAAATAAGGGAAATGAAATAAACCTACTTGAAGTAGCAAGAGATAATGAAGATAATGCCCTTGATGTACTATTTCTGCTACTTCATTCTGCACTAGAGATTATTGTTGAGAATGATGTGCCTCACCAGGTTCCTGTCTGCCTTGCATTTACCGTGACAGCAAAGACTGGCCTGCATTGAATGTAGTATTCATTGACCACACACAGTAAATCATAACTGCTCCACTGAAGCCAAAACAGCACATGCTGTCAGTGCATGGTACAATGCTATTCATTTCATACAGTATCTGCCATACAAACTATTGTCAAATGCTTTGGGGGGTTAATTGATTGAGGGCCCAGTCCCAGTGTTCTGTATTGTCTGTGCACCACAGGCCAACTTTCATCCTGCAGAGCTCTGTCTTGAAGCTGCTTACAGCTTATGCAGTTACTTTCTTCCTTACTTTTCCTAAGGGGGTGAGGGGGGAAAGCAGTTGTGCTCCTACTTGATTGATGTATAGGAGATAGACCCTAAGGGTAACAGTGGAATGAAGCAGGACAGGTGACATATTTCTTCAGTGTCTCAGCCTACTGGGGAACCGCTGTTCCCAGACAGGATGAAGTTGGATGAGACAGCGCAGTCCGAAAACAGCAGTGCACTGATAACTCCAAAATGGAGCTCAGCCAGGTAGAAGTAGCTAGAGATCCACCAGAGAACCAGTCAATACTCCAGTAACTGAGAAGGGACTCAGAAATAAAGGAGAGATTCTCACACTCCTGCACAAGCTCCCCCCCAAGGTTGTATAACTGCAAAGCAGTCTTTAAAACCAATTTATTTTGGCATAGATGCTTGTTTGCAACATAGAGTGGGTGGGGGGGGGTTGTGCGGGGCTGGGCATGGAGTGACGGCAGCACGGGGCGGTGGGTGGTGGCGCTTTTTCCCTGCCACCCACCCATCATTCTTGATGGGCGTTTTGCTAGTAGATCTATGTAGGTATATATCTGTATGTATTAGTGGCATTTATATTATTAGTGGCATTTATCTATCTATCTATCTAAAGATATCTATACCTATAGGTATAATAGAGGGCCTATAGCTTAATATAATAGAGGGCTTAGTCTGTCTGCCTGTATGTCTGTCTGTCCATACTGCTCTTGGCCAACTGCGCATACGCCACCGAGATGGCAGGAAGCAATTGGCTGTGCGGGCATGGGCTCTGCAGGCCCAAGTTTGAGCTGCTACCAGAGAAGTTTGTGATGGCAGCAAACACGCCCCGGCTGCCAGTGCAGCAGGGCTTCCCCATGCCTTCCTGCTTGAGAACAAATGGGGTGGTCATGGTGGTGGTGCTCCCCTGCCACCCATCCCTGCTGCTGCCCAGAACAGCCGGGGGGGAGGCTAAGGGGGGGGGTCACAGTGGTGGCTGTTCTCAGGGCAGGCAGCAGGGAGGGAGGGGAGCAGGAAGGGGGCCCTGACAACAGCCAGCAGGGAGGGATGCTGTGTGGGCCTGGGTGGGTGTAGGGTGGGGGGGGGTGAAGGGGCAGGATCATGGTGGCAGCTGTTGTCGGGGCCACATGGCAGGGAAGGAAGGAAGGAAGGGAAGTGGGGAGGTGTGGGGGCGTCATGGTGGCAGTGCCCCCAGCAACTGGCCCTGACAATAACTGGCAGGGAGGGAGGGACAGAGGAAGGGAGCAGGGAAGGAGGGGAGGTGGGGGGAAGCCCTGCTGCGAGACATAGGCATGCTGGGGGAGCAAGCCCCCGGCACCGGAGACTGGAGGAGGAGGCAGCAGAGGGAGTCTTTACATGGCCAACCCCAAAGGGTGGGTGGAGGGAGAGGGGGACCATGTAAACGTTCTCTGAA